TTTCAATAATTGAATTCAAGCCTACATTAAAATGGTTCAAATCGTAAAGTTCAATTGGAAAAACAAAAAAAGCTAAAATCAGTCTCTCCACTATCCAGAAAAACAAATGCATTGATTCCATCCATTCGCTTCCGCTTATCCTTTTCAGGGTCGCGGGGGGCGCTGGAGCCTATCCCAGCTGTCATAGGGCGAGAGGCGGGGTACACCCTGGACAGGTCGCCAGTCTGTCGCAGGGCCAACACACAGGGACAGACAACCATTCCACTCACATTCACTCACACATTCACACCTAGTGGCAATTTGGATTATCCAATTAACCTATCCCCACAAGCTGCATGTCTTTGGACGGTGGGAGGAAGCCGGAGTACCCGGAGGGAACCCACGCAAACACGGGGAGAACATGCAAACTCCACACAGAAAGACCCCGGCCTGATGGTGGAATTGAACTCAGGACTTCTTGCTGTGCGGCACAGTGCTAACCACTGTGCATTGGGGGATTAGACGCACCAAATTTTCTACATTACTATCTAGCTAACCAGATACAAGATATTACTAAATGGGTTCACCCACATGCAGCCCACAACTCCAGGATAGAATTAGAACAAATAACTGTTTTAATCTCCTCCACCTTCACAGCTTGGTGGAAAACCCTTGAGATTACAAATTCTTTAACAGAACCCTGTAGTCTCTCCAGTTTGGCACAGCTCATATTTTCAGATTAATTCAATTCAATTCAATTCAATTTTATTTATATAGCGCCAAATCACAACAAAAGTCGCCTCAAGGCGCTTCATAGATACAGAGAAAAACCCAACAATCATATGACCCCCTATGAGCAAGCACTTTGGCGACAGTGGGAAGGAAAAACTCCCTTTTAACAGGAAGAAACCTCCGGCAGAACCAGGCTCAGGGAGGGGCGGCCATCTGCTGCGACCGGTTGGGGTGAGAGAAGGAAGACAGGATAAAGACATGCTGTGGAAGAGAGACAGAGGTTAATAACAGATATGATTCAATGCAGAGAGGTCTGTTAAACATAGTGAGTGAGAAAGGTGACTGGAAAGGAAAAACTCAATGCATCATGGGAATCCCCCGGCAGCCTACATCTATTGCAGCATAACTAAGGGAGGATTCAGGGTCACCTGGTCCAGCCCTAACTATATGCTTTAGCAAAAAGGAAAGTTTGAAGCCTAATCTTAAAAGTAGAGATAGTGTCTGTCTCCCGAATCCAAACTGGAAGCTGGTTCCACAGAAGAGGGGCCTGAAAACTGAAGGCTCTGCCTCCCATTCTACTTTTAAATACTCTAGGAACAACAAGTAGGCCTGCAGAGCGAGAGCGAATGCTCTAATAGGGTGATATGGTACTACAAGGTCATTAAGATAAGATGGGGCCTGATTAAATTGAAGGAATTTAGGAAACTTATCTACTCGACCCCATCCCCACCAAACTATTCAAATCTGCTGCTTTACAAATCACTCAGTAAATATTATCAGCAGCTCCCTCCAGTCTGCCATTTTACCCGTGTCTCTTAAATGTGCTGTAACCAAACCGGTGCTCAAGAAATATAACTTGGATACAACCAATTTGATTTGACACAAACAACTGGATGAATATATTTCAACTAATAGTTTTTATGATATGTACCAATCAGGATTCAGAACCAATCAAGGCACAGAAACTAAAGTCATCAATGACCCGAGGATCAACAGTGTCTCTGAGAGTTTCAGGTTGAGTCCTCCTTGATCTCACTCCTTTCAACACTGTGGACTGTTCTAATACAAAGGCTTCATGACTCCGTTAGTTTAACAGTTTTTAGATCTCGACAAACAAAAATTCAGTCAGGGGTTCCTCAAGGGTCAATCCTCGATCCATTACCATTTAACCCCTACATGCTCCCACTTGTACTGTGATAAAGAATCATATGTCCAACCATTGTTATGCAGATAATACACTGTTGCACTTATTATGTTCTTCTGATGATGTAAAACCTGTTCACAAACTAATAAACTGCATTCATGGCATGAAATGCTGGATGTCTCAAAGACAGAGAACTCGGGAGACAAGACAAACACACGTTGGTCCAAAAAGTCAGAGGCAGAAAATCTGTTCATAATTATCAACCACTTCACTGAAACACAATGAGCCAGTTGGGAGCATGGTATCGATATGGACAGTGAGCTCAGTTTTGATAACAGAAAGCAGTGATGTGATTAACTTAAAAACATTTATTTAGAAAACTCTTGTCTCAAACTGACTTTGAGAAATTGGTCCATTCTTCCACATCAAGTAGGTTAGATTTTGGTCCATTTGCAGGACTCCCCAGTTCATCAGTCTGATGCCTTAAGCTTGTCCAGAGTGCAGCAGCCAGAATCCTTGGCGGTACATGGAGTTTTGACCACATCAGCCCAGTTTGAAAACCATGCATCAGCTACCAGTGCAGTATAGAATAACCTTAAAATTATGTGGCCTCCCAGTACATGTCTGATTTTCTTATGGTGTCCAACCCAGTTCAGATTTTTGAACCGTTTCCAGAATCAGATCCAAGTATGATGAAGATTCTTTCAGTTACAGTGGTCCTGTTCTTTGGAACAAGCTACCTGCTTACATGAGATAGATGACGTACATTCAAAAGCAGATTTCAAACCTCTCTATTAACACAGGTCTTCTTCTTCACTCATCTTTCTTACTATCTGTTTATACGCTGCTCTGCATTTAGTTATTAGTCTTTTTCCTGTCTTCCTTCCCTCACCCAAACTATTAGCAGCAAATGGCTGCCCCTCCCTCAGCCTGGTTCTGGTTTGTTTTCCATTTGAAAGAGAGTTTTTCCTTCCCACTGTTGCCAAAGTTCTTGCTCATTAGAGGTCATATGATTGTTGAGGTTTTCTCCTTTTCCTTGTATTTTTGTGGTCTTTGAGTCACTATGAGGCAACGAATTGATTTTAGGGGTAAAAAATGCACTGTGGAGAAAAAACATCAACAGGAAGCTATGATGTTTCCAAACAAGTCTGGGCATTTCTTATGAGAAGGGAACTGTAGGGAGAATTTCATGGTTTAATCCAGGAGCTGAAGCAGTACCACGGCAGTTTGTGTCCATATTTGTCAGCAGGGTAGTTTGAGCTGTTGTTAGCAGAGTTGGGACCACATCTGAAGAAATCATTTGAGAGAGCCGATCGACCTGGATCAGGGTCTAGCTGTGTGTCCAAGGTAAAATACAGTAGTATTAGTTTCCCATTTGAGATAAAATAAACCTTTATTAGTTCCACATGTACTTTCAGCCGTGACCAAAAAAAATTCCCACAAGAGCAGTGAAAAAGAAAAACAATAGAATAGAATAAGATAAACAGAATAACATATTAAACAAAATAGAAAGAATACTATATACACAATAGAATAAGTATGCAAATGCAGTGATCTAATTATTAAGATCTGCTTATTCGGATAAGAAATATCCAGAAAATTGAGCTTGGTTGGAAAAAACATTGTTGCAAATTCGGCCATTAAAATTGCGAGATTGCTGTGATTGGCTGCATTAAGCATAGGCGAGTCTGAAAAATGTTTTTAATGCACAAAATCTTCACACAGATTTTAGGTGTGTCAAGGTGAAGCTCAGGGAGGGGCAGCCATTTGCCTTCATCGCGTGGGAGAAGGAAACGGGACAAAAGACCCACTGTGGAAAATAATAACTAATGATTAAATGCAGAGTGGTGTAGAAATGATCTAGTGTTGAAACTACCTTTGCTTTGCTTTGTAACGTCACCTGAGATGCATTGCCAGTTAATGTGTCATTTTATTAATGTTATATTTTGTTCACATATCAACACAAAGTCATTCACTTTGTACTTTATCAGATTCAGATCCATTAGTGGAAGAAATGTAACGTCAAAAGTTGCAATTTTACTGTTTTTGTGCTACATTATGCCAAACCAGATAAATAATTTTCAAGTATAAAAGCATTAAAAAGCTTATTCTGAGAGAAACTATGAGTTAATGTGAGGCAACAATAACTGGATTTGATCTTATGTGATTACAGTATTGATGGTGACTAACGTGCACTGAATAGAAGGTGTTTCCATGTCTAAGGAGCTTGGAAAGAAATGTGTCTGAACTTCTTTAAGCTGCTTGAAGATGTTTCACCTCCGAGAAGCTTCTTCAGTTCTAGGGTCAAAAGGTGGAGGGTCCCAGATTTAGGCTACGTCCACACTAACGCATTTTTGTTTTAAAAAACGCATCGTTTTCTCTCCGTTTCGGCCTCCCGCCCACACTGAGATGGCCGTTTCGCTGATGGAAAACGCATCGTTTTCAAAACGCTCTCGAAAACTGTGCTTTCGCGTCGTAGTGTGGACAGCGAAAACGCAGACTTTCTAAAACAATGACACGTTAGTCATGTGATGCAGTCATGTGACCAATTAAACTAAGATAGCGGAGGGCATTACACAGCAGTTGTTTTGTTTGCTCTCAGGTTTGACAGCGCTATTAAAGATTAATATCAGTCTGTGCGTGCTCCAGAGAGCTTTTCCTCAAATTCTTTACCTCTCGCTCGCTTTTGCAACTTTATACTTTTGTGTTACTCGCAGCAACAACTCCACCTCATTGTCAGTCCATTTAAAAACTCGGTGCGTTTCCTTGACATTTTGCCGCGACGTTTCAAAGAGCTGGAAAGTGAATAAGCGGCAGACAGAAATGAGGCAGGCTGAATCTTCTTGCGTTTCACGCATGCGCAGGACTGGAACATAAGCGTTTTCGGCCGTTTCAATGTGGACGCACAACTCTGTGAAAACGATGGACGCGGAGCGTTTTCAGAGGAAGACGCCGTTTTCAAATTTATCCGGGCTAGTGTGGACGTAGCCTTAAGCCCTATGGGAGTGTCCCTCCAAGAGGGACAATGGACCTCCTGATGATCCTCTACCTAATCACAAGGTGTGAAAACGGGTGTGCGTCACAATCAGGATGACCGAGAACCTCCACAGACAAGGTGTGTCCATGTAAAACATCCGAAACAACCTTGAAGCCTCAGCATTAATTTATTTAACAACAGTTAAAGTAATACTCACTTCATAAAAGATAATAAAAAAAAACATTTGGAGAAGGACCAAGTTTCAAATCCAAAAGTACATAAATCAGTGACTTCATACCAAGATACAATATAGAAGGAGAGAGTTATATTCTGTATATTTTGATTGTACAGCAATAACAAAATTAAGGAGCGCGTAAAAAACGGCCTAAAAAGAACGTCAAGAACTACAATACAAGACATTTTGTTACGTGTGTTCTTTGCCAGGCATTTGTCACATTATGGGAGATTTATAATCACAATGTGCAATAAATGTGACAGCCACTTCAGTCTTTGAAGGTGTTACATGCAGAGATAATCATGAATTAATAAATATGTTAGGGCATGTGCCTGGTACAGACTGCAATCCTTAACAAATTGTACTTTATTTGATGGAAAGTGCAGAGGAACTAATGTAACTTGAGATTACTAACTAAATATGCTGTAGGAGGAAATGCTTTCAAAAGATTTGACTTGTTTAAACAAAAAGCAGCTATGAACACAGTGGAAGCTTTGGAAATACAGGTGGGGCAGGACCGAGGACATCCTCAGGTGGGATGAGAGACGCACATCCTAAAGACTGAAGAGCACAGATCCCAGCTGCAGGAGCAATGTTAACAGGCATCTCTGCAATAAATGAGCCGTCACTTACTCACAGTTCATTTCTAAAAACCAATTTCGATTCGAGTGATTTTTAAGGATCATTCGAAAATGCTGGTTTTCTTACTCTTCTCTCAAAGTGGAGAACTACTGGTGTTCTGATGAGAACCTTTGGTATTCTCCAGTGTTTTCTGAAATTCCTCGAGAGTCCTGCGACTATAATTGTAAAACCAGAAATTAAACTGGACAACACTGAAATTTGGTAAAATAATAGAACTACATACTTATTAGGCATCCAGGACTTGAAAGGAGACATTCATAATATCCTGAAGTTCTCAGTGATCCCACCTGAGGGCCCACAGGGTCCTTTGTCATCAAACTTTCAACTGAGCCCACATGAAACATCAATACTTTATAATGCATGCATAATACTATACTAATGGTAGAAACTAATAAACACGTATGCACCAACACTGTGTTGTGTTTTAGCATCATTTCCATAACCTCTTTAACACCCGATGAATAACATGAACCAGTAACAGACCTTTATGAGCCGCCTGACAGATTTGCTGCGACAGAGTTCACACCAGACTGAACTCTGTCGCAGTTTAACATCTTTCATTGTTCTACACCAGAAAGCAAAGCAGCTTGATTCATACACGAGTTCAGTTCATGACAGGGCGAAACAAAGACGTGCAACTTTACCAAATGTGAAACCAAGAAACGAAGAAAAGAAACTGTGTCATGAGCTAGTTTCGGATGGTCCCAACGTGTAGACGTGGATATTACAGACAGATTACAATTCAGGAATCTCAAACAAGAGGAAATAAGTAAGAGTGGAGAGTAAATATCCTAAAATATTCTGCAATGGTGGGAAAAGTGTTCATTTAACCTGATGATGTTAACTATTTGTAGTGAAATGATATTGCCGTCCCACTGAAATGACGTTATTTTGCTTGCCATTCTTTGGTACAGTTTTATTGGAAACTGTTAGATGACAGCTTGAATAATAAAACTACTTTTCCATAATTGTGATATTAGCCGTGTGAATCAGCTCAGTTACTTACATTGGTGACATCAGGCTGTAGCAGCACTACAGTAACATGGATACAAATGCGGACAGTCATACTGATGGAGACCAATATGTCTGTGCATTTACTCGAGCAGCAGCACTCCTGCATATACTCATATCTAATGAGGCTGAAGAACTTCACAGAAGATAAATAGTTGGATACTTCTGTCTTAAAATATTATTTTTGCTGAACATAATAATCTGAATCAGATTCTTTATGTGAGGAAAGTTTATTTTCAGAGACTGAGCACGTGCTGCCTGCTGAAGGTTAAAGTTTTATGTCATGTATACAAAGCTTTTTGTTTTACAGGTCGAGTTCAAATCCATTCAGTTACTTTTGTTCAGGATGATGACACGGTGGGTGGAAACTAGCTCGCTAATACAGAGCAACACACTCGTGTGCAAAAACCAGCCTGACGACTTACCAAAGTGATACATAGAGACATTCAGTGCACTGATATTATACAGTGCCTTTTCTGATTCACCCAGTAACACACACATCTATACAGTGCTTTCATCCAACACCTGATGGATGCACTGGGGGCACGTCGGGCGTGAGCTGCTTGCAGAGGAGGAGCCAGGCATCGAGGCACTGACCCTTAGTGAGTCATTTGGAGAAATCTGGTAATAAAAGTGTCAGAAATGTAAAGATTCTCAAGAACTAAACGCTTGTGTCACTTTTTTGAAATGATATGCAACGTACTAAAAGAAAGCTCCACATGTTCTTACAACACAGACCGTAACATGGTGAAGGAAATTCCTCCACAGAGGGAGGTCGTGAAAGCTTAACTAAGCTGTCCCACCCTTACTGCTGAGGTCAAAGGCAGACAGGTGTGCGTGTGAAACCCTGACTCGAAACAGTGATGTGCACGGCATGGACGCAATCCAGGGTTCGCCTGTTTGGATGAAGCACAGGGGCACCGTGTGGGCCAGTTTCAGAGTGAAGGGTGTTTGCTGACCTGCTCATGTCGGTAGTTTAAAGAAGAAAACTCACTATTACACACATAAATGTTATATAGATGGTGCATTAGTGGCTGCAAGAGGGAAAAAAGTTACACGTTAAACTTGGCAATGTGCTGAAATACTACTGGTGCCATACACAGTGACGTATTGAACAGTAACACTGAACCCCCAGGGCAGAGTGACAACAAGTGAAATATTTACCTTAGAGGTGCAGCTATAAACACAGTTATGTACAGTCAGGAACAACATGTGTCATTCACGTGCATGGACACAACATGACAAGGATTTATGCTTACTTAGTCCATAAAGCTATTTAACTTCCATGCAACGCCATCACTGTGAACACAGGAGCACGAATGGCACGGAAAAAAGAAATCACATGATCACTGACATTCTTAAATTCCAGTCACCACTTAATTTAAACTCACATTCAAGAAAAAGCGCTTGGGGGTGCTGCAACGGGCTGATTTCCTTTAAAGATATCGATGAACACTGATTCAGCGAAGGACTGGAGCTGATGTAGAAGTCTCTGAATGAACATGCCTGTAAACACAAAGGTATGAAAACGAGAGCTGCAGGTCGTCTGCGCTGACGGAGCTCCCACGCAGCTGTGCGTTTCTCAGGAGATGAAGTGGTCAGATGAGGATCTCCACCATATCCGTGTCTGCTTCTTGTTGGCTCGACTGTGCTGGAGGAGCTGACTGATGCTGTGGGTGGGCCTGGATGGGAAGTCTGCGCTCCAGCGTGCTGGTGTGAAACGCCTGAGCATCTACACAAATGTGACAGTGAAAGACTGATGAGAACATTTCTCCTCTGATCCTGTCTGCTGTGTACACCTCGAATCTTATAGATCCTTCACATGTTGACATTACATCACGTTACACAATATCACAACAAAACGTTACATTAACTGTGATAATGTTGCCAGGAGTGTGTGTTGCATACATACATACTTTTAAATGATTTCTAAACCGTGAGCCACTACCGGTATTTTTACCTTCATAAAGCACCTCGTAACAGGTTGTTGATTACTTGCTTCATGTTCACACAATACAACATGATGCCAAAGTGGAAAAAACGCTTGCTTGGAATTAGATAAAAATAAAGCCCCAAATATAACAGAAGTATTCACGCTCTTTGCTCAGTACTGTGCGCTACAGCCTCCAGTCTTTATGATTCTAAGCTTGGCAAATCTATTGTTGGGCACTAGGGCTGCCACAAACGATTATTTTGATAGTCGACTAGTCACCGATTATTTTTGCGATTAGTCGACTAATCAGATCATCATCCATTGGACGTAAAACTACAGCTTATTGCACCAGCAGCATCTGCTCTTATATAACTATCATTAGCTTACAGCTTTAAGTGTTTAAGGTGCTAACTAAAAATAAAGACAAGATGATAGTTTATTCAATTTTAATGAAATTTGCAGATTGTTTCGGTGAAGTTTAATAAACTCCTTGCTATCTAAAATATAACAGGACACCGGAGTAAATTCTGGAGCATCTCACACTTCTGATAATCAGCTGTCTGCTTGACGTTTATTCAGCTGTGTAAAAACTATAACTTTAATCTCAGCAAACCGATTTACTCAGGAACAAATAAAATACTTGTCCATTTTTAATTATCTAAGTGACTCATATATCATTTAACCTGAGTAGCGAAAGACGGCGGTGGGTTTGAAAACGATTTGCCGGGAGTCCGGTGTTCTCACGGCTCTAGTGAGCCTAGCCCCCGGCTAGCTATCGAGCTAGTGGGTAACAGACGTCTCCGAAAACGTCGGAGCGCTTTTGAAAATATGGGTGTCCTGATAAACTGAGCAGATATTTGAGGTTTACACAGCTACATTCTCGCCTGAAAATATGTTAAACGTTTATTTTGTGACCCAGAAAGAATAATAAGAGTAATATTAAAACTAACTAGCTCCGCCATTGTTGGAAACTAAGCTGGGCCGCGCTATGAATTCTGGGACACAGCTGCTTCTTCTTCTTCGGGGTTTAACGGCAGCTGGCATCCTTGTACATGCAGTGCTGCCATCTTCTGTTTCAGTCCGTTATTACACTCTTAAATCCTGCTACTTATTCCTGCTTTTGTGATCTTACAAAGCTTCAAACGACGCGTCGACTATTAAATCAGTCGTCGACTAATCGTAGCAGCCCTATTGGGCACTTTCCCCCCATTTTTCTTTGCAGAACCTTTATCAGGCTCAGTTCTGGGCTCTGGCTGGCCCACCTAAGGACATTCACTGAACAGCCCAGTGCTGCAGCTGAGAAATATCCCCACAGAACCACGCTTCATTGTAGGGATTTTATTGGCCAAGTGATGAGCGGTGAGATTAGCTCTGTGATTTGACAAAATATATGCAAGGTAAAGACCCTACAATATTACAAAGAAAACAAGTAACCCCCTCCGAGCAAGTGCTTTGGTGACAGTGAGAAGGGTGAGTGGACAAAGTGACCTGGTCCAGCCCTAACTATATGCTTTAGCAAAAAGGAAAGTTTTAAGCCTAATCTTAAAAGTAGAGATAGTGTCTGTCTCCAAAATCTAAACTATGTATCAGATGACGATATTAAAACGTCTGTTGGTTCATATGTTTGCTCTACTGTTTATTTTGTTTACTACAATAGCCCCGTTTCCATTAGTACGACTTGGATCGACTTGCCACAGTTTTCCTTTAGGTGATACCTGGTACCAGGTACTAAAAAAGTGATCCGAGCAGATACTAAAATGTGATGTCATCAGACTGCATGCCACTGATTGGCTGGTTAGTGGCATCACTCCATGAGTCATGAGAGTGTCTCGTTCATGAAAATCTAAACTTTTATTAGATGGGTAAAGAATTGTGCTTCTCGTGGTCTGAGAATCCTTTAGGTGCTTTCTGGGAAACTCCAGGTGAGCCGTCACCTTCTACTGAGGAGTGGGCTCAGTCTGATGACTCTACCATACAGGCCTGATTGGTGCTGCAGAAATGGTTGGACTTCTGGAAGGTTCTCTGTCCACAGAGCAACACTGGAGCTCTGTCAGAGTGACCATCAGGTTCTTGGACACCTCCAGCTCCAGGTAGAGTCCTGGTGGCTCCAAATGTCTCCCATCTATGGATAATGGAGTCCACTGTACTCATTGGGACCTTCAATGCTGCAGAATCTCTTCGTACCCTTCTGCAGACCTGTGCCTCGATACAATCCTGTCACTGAGGTCTACAGACAATTCTTTGGACTTCATGGCTTGGTTGGTGCTCTGATATGGACTGTCAACTATGGGACCTTATGCAGAGAGGAGCTTACTTTCCAGATCATGTCCAGTAAACTGAATTTACCACAGGTGGACTCCAGTCAAGTTGTAGACACATCTGACAGATGAACAGTGGAAACAGGAAGCACCCTAGCTCAGATCTGAATGTCACGACAAAGGCTGTGAGTGCATGTGAAGGCTGTATATAACATGCATTTCTTTGGCCTGCAGGAGAAACCTGAAGAGAACCCATGAAGCCTCACAGAGAACATGCAAGCTTCACACAGAACGGCCCAGCCGACTGGTGGATACAAATCCAGGTCACCCTTGTCTTGAGGCGATGGTGCTAACTCTGCGTCACTGTGTTGTAGAAGAACAAGCAATATTTGCTCCTCAGCCCTTCTGAGATTATGATTTTTGTCAATTTTATAGTGCACTACATAAAAACAATTAAAGGAACACTGACCAGAGTACAGCAACTGGTCAGGTAAACTTCTGTGACGTTGATCTGGTCAGTGGTTGTAAATCAGGGTCAGCTGCTTTGGTGTCAATGAAATTAACAACAGGTGCACACGTAGAAGGACAGGGATGGTTTTCCCTCCTCGTATTTATGCTGGTGCAGCAGGTTCTGGGTTCCTCCTGGTGCACAACAATCTCCAGCCTCAAGTGACACTGTCATCACTTGAGGCTGGAGATTTCTTAATCCTCCAAATTGGTGACCAATGACTGACTCACCTTATCTAAATCCAATAGAGATCTATATCTGTATCTATATGGATGTATTTTTGGCCTTTATTGAATGGGACAGTGAAGAATCGACAGGGAGGGAGAGAGCAAAGGGCAAAGGGCCGTCTGATGTGTTAATGTTTTTTTAATATGGAAGAATGAGACGTCTCAGAGGTCCAGTTGACCCTGAACCACAGGGGTGGCTTTGCAAAGCCAGCGAGCTCGTCCAGGCTGCATGTGGCGTTATCCTTGGACAGTCTTAGGTAATGTGTGGCAGATCTAAAGCATTTACAGGTATAGAATAAAGCGCTGTAAGCATGTGACTGTAAATGGGTGAGTGTGGCTTGTAGTAGAAAAAGCTCTTACATGCTCACTACGAGTAGAAACGCACTATGAAATACTCGTGTCTTTACTTTCGAGTGCACAAAAAGGAAGCATGTGGACTGACATCTGTTGTGAAGGTAAAATACAGCTGGCTGTGAGTCTGTCACAAAGAGGCTGACCTGCTATGCGGTCAGGGATGTAGACGGGACTGGGACTGGACAGGCGAGCTGGCAGCGTCATGCTCTGCAGAGCCGGAGTGCTGGGCTTGCTGGTGTCCTGACTGTGGCCCTTGTCGGTCTGCGTGTAACTGTCTCTGCTGCCTGTCTTTGAGTGTCCTGCAGTCATCGGTGTAGAAGGAAGGACCGGGGAGGGAGACGACGACATCGACTCCGTCCTGAGAGACTCCATGCGAAACTCGGGACCGAGCAGAACCCCTGGAGGAACATGAGAACAAGTGCTCCTCAGAATGAAGTCATGTACATGAAATAGTCACATGGGCTAAAACCTCTGCACAGGCTGCTGCTTCTTACCCAGACTGCCCTTCCAACTCGTGTCCTTACGTTCTTCAGTGATTGGAGAGCTACTCAGTCCCAAGTTGTGAGAGAGCAATCCAGAACCACTCGTGTTGGAGATGGACATCAAGGACTTGGAGGGCCTCATGGCAGATGGTGCATCAGACTTAACGGGCTCCTTCCTAGAGCGCTGGTGAAGCACCTTAATCATGGCGTCCTTCTCAATGATCTGGGCATGCAGATTCTTTATCCTGGATCAGAGCAGACGCAGCCACAGTTAATGTCTGGCTGTGACTGAAACTAAATCATGGATTGATTTTTAAAATAAGAAATCATTTATCATAAAATTACACTAAAAACAACTTAGCTCGATAGAATAAACACAATATGTACTTGAATTTATATAACGCTTCTCTAGTCTTACTGACCATTAACCCCCTGAGACCCAAACTCTTTCATGCATTTTTAATTTCTCTTTGCTATTTGGGCTGATTGGGGCCTGACGAATGTAAAACAAAGAATTATCTTTTTAACCGATTTTTGTTTCTTAGAAAAATTAGTTCCACCTATGAGGACATTTGATTGCTGTAGCTCAGGAGGCAGAGCAGGTCACCTACTGATCGGTGGTTCGATCCCTGGCTCCTCCAGTCTGCATGCCAAGTATCCCTGGGCAAGATACCAACCCCAAGCTGCTCTCTGATGCGTCCATCGGAGTGTGAATGTCGTTAGAAAAGCACTCAGTTTAGAGTCAGTGCTTGTGAGTATGGGTGTGATTGGGTGAATGTGGCGTGTTGTATAGAGCGCTGCGAGTACTCCGGGAGAGTAGAAAAGCGCTGCATGAGAATCAGTCCATTTACATTTGTTTTACACAGCAGTGGCAGGATAACATCCTCGTAAGTGGATCTCAGGCCCTTGTAGAGCAAAATTTAGTATTGTGGTCTAGACAACCCAAACTGTGAAGTCCACATGTGGACGCAGGTCCAAGAGGGTAAAAGACACAAACCGCTGAGAAAGTTAACAAACAGCAGAATAAAGAATGAGCTTGATTACATACAAGATACAAAAACAAGTGCAGCCTGAATATAATACGATGGCTTCAATCTACGATGAAAGCAGGTACTGTGGTATGAAGTGGTAACACTTTTCTATACCCGAATGCTTTCACACCACAAACACAGCTCTGCACAGAAGCAGCCCATGACGCTCTCTCCATCTGTTTGCACACCCTGACATAATCAAACAGCCCTTTGCAGAGGAGCAGTTTACCTGCTTTCCATGTCCAGACAGCGCCGATTGGCCATCAGAATCTCCTCCTCTTCCTTCTGGATTCGAGCCTCCACTGATGTGTCGTAGCTGCTGCTAGGAGAGTGGCTGATCATCGTAGCAGACGTATCCCTGCACAAACAAGGACAGGAGTGGCTCACACCCATCCTGGGGTTTCTCTTAAACAGACTGTTGGTCCTTATTGTTCCGAGGAAGACGACTGGATGATCTCATCAGGAAAACAATGACTGCCACCTCTCAGGTGAGCAGCAACCTTCTTTGGATAGGAGCTCCAGAACAGGTGTAGAGCTACAGTTTTAGGATGGGCCCTTGTTGGTAATGATGCACACTTTCTCTGTGCAATGGCTTTGGCCATATTGTACCTTCCTCCAACAGGTGCGTAATAGCATGAACTACAGCAGTGATTACACTTCTGACATTTTTAACATCTCAGGCAGATCATATTTAAACATTAAATATTTACTGTTATGTATTTGCTCTGGTTTAACAGCTGCCACAAAGCTACGAAACCAGAGTTTGTTGTTAAAAATGAAGCACAAAAAGTGAAAAAGCAGCTTAAAGTGTGTAACTGCCCCATCAAGCCTGAGGCTCTTATTTCTCTGACAAGAAAACCTCATTTCTGCTGTTCGATACCAAAGAAATTTAAACTTTTACAAATTCTGCCAAAAGCTAAACGTGACTCTGCTCTGCTTCACTTCTGCAGCATCAGGTAATGTTCACGAGTCATGGTTTTCTTCAGTTTGTGATCTACTGCAGAGTATTTATTTATTTTATTTATACATAGATATAAAATATGGATATGTAGTGATAAATGATCATAATTATAGTATTTCTGACTGAGTCAAAATCGAATCAGATCAGACCTTGTGAATCAGAGTTGAATCGGTTATAGAAATCACTGATTCCCAGTCACAGCTGATGTTTGGTGGCCACAGACTGAAGGGGCAGCACAGCTGCTGCGCCTCTTGCCCAGAGAAGCTCAGATGGCTGTGAGTTTCAAGATCCTAACAACTAAGACAAATGCAAAAACGTTTTGTCCAAGTGACGTCTTCAGTCTCCGCTAAATGCAGATTTCCAAACCTTATAGTACAGAAACTGACCTCACAGCCCACTGTTCATTCAGTCAGCTGGTTTCAGTCTTTGTGCAAATGTCCTGTTTGTAAGGTTGAAACCTGCAGTCAGCTGAGACTGAAGACGTCACCTGGATGAGCGAGGAAACGTTTCTCCCACTGAAAACGTCCAGATGAACAGAATCAGCCTTTTGGGATTTGCTTACCTGGATGACTGAGCACGCACCACGACACATCTCGTGTTTCAAGATCCTAACAACTAAGACAAGCAATAATGTTACTGAGAGACCGTATGAAACTACGAAAACCTGAAACATGTACCTCTGAGTAGCAACAGACGCTGCAGCATCCAGGGCAAACTGCCTCATTACACTTTCCTCTAAATACTTCTGCTCCCACTTGGTCATGTCAGCCTCCAGAGCCAGGATCCGTTCCTCCTTCTCCCTCAGGTGTTCCATCAGAGCTGTGGTGTTGTATTCTGACGAGATCACACTGCTGGTTTGAGCACCACCTTGACGCTGGAAGAGATGTATTTGTTTTATTTACAC